CCCCACTACGCCCTGTCCCTACTTTACTTGAAAGGAGTTACTTCTAACCTAGACTTTAATTCAGCAATCGAACATTAATTTTAACCATTGGGACTATTTGCATGCTTAAAATTAAGCACACAGTTTAGTAATCAGCTGAAGAGGGATGAATTTACTCACATGCTTAAAGTTATGCATCTGCTTAAGTTCTTTGTACTTCTGTGAGACAAAGCACAAATCAAGCCTGCCTAAATACTTATATTGCTTGGTCACAGTCCCCCTTGGTCCCTCCCTCTCTGCAAGGTTGTGATTTCATATACTCAAATTTCAGAAGCAAACCGTGGTTTTAACAAAGGCTTGACATAAAATAAGAGTGAGAAAACCTCTGATTATATGAGATCAGAACTCCTCCAACAGAAACTTGCTATATATTCCCAGCTGTCTACTACATATTTATTGAGATAACACTAAGTGTTAATGTTGCACTACATTTAGAAAACAATCCCTGCAAGCCTTTAAGTTTCATAACCTGTCATGTAATATAACTATCTCTCCAATATGGAGGAGTCCAGGCCAAGGGAGAGTCAGACCAGGAAAATGAGAGCAATATTTTTCCTTCATTACTTATTGTTGTAAATGGCTGACCTTTCTAAAAGTGAAGGATAATTTGATTTTCCCCTTTCTCTGTTTGCTTGTATTGTCTGAAATTAGCTTACCCAATATTAACGATCCAAGATTCTCCCCCAAAACTTACCCAGCAGGTGCAATGTGTTAAATATGTACATTTTAAAAAGGAAAGAGAAAGAAAATCAGTCATTTGTTATTCTAAGAAGTGACTGCAAGGAGAATCACAAATAGACAAATGTATTATTTTTCCTTCTAGACAGCAAGTCCTGAAGCAATAAAGAGGAGAAACACTTCCATTAATTTCAGCTTGGAAAGATCAATACTAGTGACACCAGCTAAAACAGATCCTTTTCTCTAAAGATCCAATCAAAATTGGAGCACAAACACTGTCACTGGAAACAAAGCTGTAAAATATTTTGTAATTATTTTGTTTTATTGGAGTCAAGAGATAGCAAGTATTGGGAGGCAAACGCACAACACCTTCTGTCATGACAAAGCCCTTCTTCTGAAAGGCTGTATTCATTTTGCTGTGAAGTGTGGATACTGAGTTTGGCCTGGTGTGTCTTTTTGTAGGCCCTGTTCACATAGTCTACACCACAGGAAAGTACCACAAAACCAGAAGTTGGGAAGCACTAGCACAGGGGTGGGCAAGAAAACCGCGGGTCAGATGCAGTTTGCCAGGGTTAGCCTCAGTAGGCTGCCACAACTTTAAATGCCTGAGTCTGCAGGTATGATTGCTATTCCTGGCCCATGAGAACTATGGGAAGTGGTGTCCCAATCCATACCACTTCCTGCAGCTCCCATTGGCCAAGAATGGTGATCCTTGGCCAATGAAAACTCCGAGTGGCCAACCTGCGGATGCATAGGTACATAAGAACAGCCATACTGGGTCAGATCAAAGGTCCGTCTAGCCCAGTATCCTGTCTGCCAGCAATGGCCAGCACCAGGTGCTTCACAGGGAAAGTACAGAACAGATAATCATCAAGTGATCCCTCATTTGCCACCCATTCCCAGCCTCTGACCATTCCTACCCATCCTGGCTAATAGCCATTGATGGACCTAACCTCCATGAATTTGTCTAGTTCCTTTTTGAACCTTGTTAAAATCCTGGTCTTCACAACATCCTCTTGCAAGGAGTTCCACAGGTTAGCTGTGTGCAGTGTGAAGAAAAACTTCCCTGTGTTTCTTTTAAACTTGCTACCTAAAAATATCATTTGGTGACCCTCAAATGAAATTAAATAAAATATGTGGCAGCCTGCCAGGGACGAACCCTAGTGAACCACATTCAGCCGACAGGCTGCTTATTCCCACCCCTGCATTAGCACCTGCTTTCCAGGATACTGATTAAAGTTTTTAACCCTTTGAATGTGGAAAAGGAATGTGGAATGTGGAAAAGGAAGTGTCTCAATGTTTTCTGGTTTACAGTTCCTGGAAGCTAAAATATAAAACAATTACCATTTGTCACATTAGAGTGTGCAGCATAAACCAGAGAGAGGTTGCCAGTTGTCTGCAGCTTCACAAAGCTTTGATGCTTCACAAAGCTTTGCTGCTCTTGTTCCTAACCTTGGCCAGTCACACAATCTGTATACCACAACCTGAGAGTAGCTACAAACACACGTACACAGACACAAATTCAGACTGGAATTCTCAGAGGTGCCTACGTCCCATTGGATTTGAATGGAAATTGGGCTCCTGACTGCATTAGGCACCTTCAAAATTGCCAACTTTGGCATGGAGAAGGGAGTTACTCACCTCGTGCAGTAACGAGTGTTCTTCGAGATGTGTGTCCCTGTGGGTGCTCCACTGTAGGTGAAGGGTCGCCCTGACCCACAGATCGGAGCTTTGTATAGCAGTTTCCCCTGTTGAGCCACGCATGCCCATGAGGCGTCTCGAGCCCTTCCCGCCTCCTGAGGAGCGTGACTCAACCCCCTCCCTTTCAGTTCCTCGTCTCCGCCCGAGAATTTTGACTCTGAGCAGAGGAGAGGTAGGGAGGGTCGTGGAGCACCCACGGGGACACGCATCTCGAAGAACACTCGTTACTGCACGAGGTGATTAACTCCCTTTTCTTCTTCGAGTAGTGTCCCCGTGGGTGCTCCACTGTAGGTGACTACAAAGCAGTATTCAATGTAAGGCTGGAGGGAGCCGGAGTCATTGTTTAGCAGTGGTACAGAGTACTGCTGTGGCAACTGCTGAATCACTCTTGAGTTGTGGAAGGATAGCGTAGTGTTTAGCAAAAGTATGGTCTGAAGACCATGTTGCTGCCCGGTAAATGTCTCCTAAGGGGACATTGCCCAGAAAGGCTGTAGAAGCAGCCGTGGCTCGAGTAGAATGTGCTTGTGGTGGGCGTTGTAGCGGTCTATTGCCCAGAGAGTGGCATTTGATTATACATGTCGATATCCACTTTGAGATTCGTTGCGATGATATTGGTGTCCCTTTAGATCGTTCAGCAATGGAGATAAAAAGTCTTTTAGATTTGCGAAATGGTTTCATTCTTTCTAGGAAGAAGGCCAGAGCCCTCCGGATGTCCAGAGTGTGCAGGCTGACGTCTGTCTGCGAAGAATGCGGTTTTGGGAAAAAGGTAGGTAATACGATCGGTTCGTTGAGATGGAATTCTGTACAGACCTTTGGCAAAAATGTGGGGTGGGGTCTCAGTATGACCCTATCCTTTGTGAAAACTGTGTAAGGAGGTTCTGACATTAATGCTCCGAGTTCGCTCACCCTCCTGATGGAGGTAATGGCTAAGAGGAAACAGACTTTCATAAAAAGGAAGGGAAGTGGTACTGTTGCCAGTGGCTCAAAGGGAGGTCTGGTGAGGCAGTTCAAAACAAGATTTAGGTCCCACAAAGGGGGTGGGGCCTTATGTGGTGGGTACACATTCTGGAGTCCCTCGAGGAATCTCTTCGTAATTGGATGGTTAAAAATGGAGAAGCCGTCTACTGAGGTATGAAATGCTGCTACTGCAGAGAGGTGTACTCTTAGAGAGGAGATTGACAGTCCTGATGCTTTAAGGTACAGAATGTAGTCTAGGATGGTATTTAGTGGTGAGGCACGGGGCTCCACTTTGGCTCGCTGACACCAGTGGCAGAAACGTATCCATTTCTGTTGGTAAGTTTTCCGAGTAGACTGTCTCCTGCTATGCAGGAGGACGTCTTTTACTCGCTGGGAGCAGCGCTCTTCTACCTCCGAGAACCAGAGAGAAGCCATGCGTGAAGATGCAGGATATTGAGTTGTGGATGCAGTATCCTGCCGTCGTCCTGAGATAGTAGGTCTATCCGGTATGGTAGTGGGTGGGGAGGCTGGACCGCTAGCCGGTGACGGTATGGGTACCAGGTTTGGCGAGAC